CCCCCCGCTGAGCTCTGCCCAGCAACCTTGCACAGCCAGGTTCTCTGCTGGCTTCCTGCCATCATTTGCAGCCTGGCCCTGACCCAGGCCCAGGCTGACCCCTCACCTAGGGCTCCTACAAAATGGCTCAAGGGAGATGGCTTTCTAAGCCCAGCCCAAGGTGACTCCTGATCAGGCTACAGATGGAAACGCCCCCCCCATCCAAGTCAGACACTGCCCTCCCATTGGGCAGGCCTTTGCATGAACCCTCACCCCAGATGGATCCTTGAACCCTGGCCAGGGAGTCTGTCAGTCAGTCAATACACTTTTATTCAGTACCTACTGTGTGCCAGGCACTATACCAGCCGAGCTGTAGGAACACAAAAAGGGAAGAGATAGTCCTGCCTCAAGGAGCTCCAATCTAACAGGGGAGACAATGTGCAAACAATAGGGTAGGCTTAGTTACATACAGGGAAATGGAAGGTAAATGCAGAAGGCTGGGAGGGAGCTGGGAGGGAGGCTCATGTGGAGGTGGGATTGGAGCTGAGTCTTGAAGAAAGCCAGGGTAGATTAGGGGTTGGAGATGCGGAAGGAGCCCATTCCAGGCAGGGTTACGGGACAGCCAGAGAGAAGGCCCAAAGATGGAGCGTCTTATTTGTGGAAGCCAGGAGGCTGGTGTCCCAGACTGCAGAGTAAGTGTCGGGGAGTAAAGTGTAAGAAGACTGGAAAGGGAGGAGGGGGAGGCCGGTTGTAAAGAGCTTTGAACACCAAACATTTTGGATTTGCTCCTGGAGGCAATGGGGAGCCACTGAAGTTTACTGAGTAGGGAGTAATGCGGTCAGATCTGTGCTTTAGGAAAATCCCTTTGGTGGCTGTGGAAAAGGATATGAAGTTAGGCTTCCTCAGAAGAACAAGGGAATTCTAAGATCTTGTGGACAGTCCTTTAACCGATAAGAAAGTGCCCCAAATTCTGCAACAATAGTTACTTAAGGAAAAGCCCTGGAGGCTAAACCAGGGCAACCTGGGGACAGAGGCTTTTCTCCACTGCTTAGAATGAATTTTGAATTCAATTGAATATTAACTGACACACCCTGAGGGCAGAGACAGCCGCCATTTTTGAAGATGGGACTCATGAATTGGGAGGAACATGGGATGAGCAGTTCAGGAACTGTAACTCAGATGTGCTGGACCTATCCTAGCCCTGACAGGAGGAGCAGCATCCTACTAACAGTATAAAAGCTGGCTCTCGCTTCTGTACAGCGTGCCTCTCCAGCAGGGACACACCCACTTCTTGCTGTAATGCAGAACATTATTTTGCCATTTAGGTAGTAGAGCCTTTAAGCCACGAAAAGCAAAAGTTGGTGCTTAATCTTGCCCAGACCTCTTTCCTCCTAAATCTAAACAATAGCGAAATGTACTCTTGCATAGCTTAAGCACAGCCCATACCTCCAACACAAATGGTTAAGAAAACTTGCAATATAATGGCTTTAGATAATTATGTTTATACCAGAAACCAGGACACCTGGTCTGGTTTGTGTGATCCCTGACCTGTAATGATGGGGTGCTCGGATGCTTGTGCTTATACTTTTGCCCCCAAAATGCCTCCTAGTCTCAGAAACACTATCTCTGACAACTCCCCAGCCCAAGGACACTGTGCCTAGCAGTATTTATGCATGGGCCTCAGCAAGACCCTTATCTGGCTGCTCAGGCTCCAGCCCTCAGATCATATCTCTGGAAGCCTCCATTGTGAGAAAGTTTTTTCCTTGTTGCAGAGCATTATCATGTCTAGACAGAGGGAGAGGGGTGTCCTTGACCAGCCCCAAAACTCTTCCTCTTGCCAGACTTCAAAGATCCATCCCCTTCCTGTCCTGTATACTCCCTATATAAACCCTAGCTCGACCCTGATGGGGGCTGCTTGATTTGGATGTGAATATCCCTGGCAGCCGTGCGCTAACATAATAAAGTCCACAATTTAAATTAGTCTGGGTCTAACTCGCTAATTTCTCGGTATAACAGGGATGGGCCAGGAGAGAGATGGCCGGCTCCTCTCACCTTGGCTTCTTCCCAGCGTAGCTGGAGGGGAGCTGGCATGGTATCTTCCCTCTGGACATCAGAAGTGCCCAAGGGAGACGGCAGAGCCCAAAGGGACTCGCAATACTGAAGAGATTCAGAGAAGGTCAAGAGAGCAAAGAGACTGGCATTCTGTCACGCCCCACACACAGGCTGGGAACAAGGGTTATGTGGCCCAGGTGCTCACTGCTGCCAGTCACCTCGAGGTGACTGGGCCATAGCCAGAGGTGGGAAGTCTACTAGGAATTAGGACAGACTGCTGAAGACCATCTGGGGAACGGGAGCTGGAGAGAATTCCCTTCCTCCCCAACCAACCTGAAGCAGACGTAGCCCACTGAGGAGGCAGGACAGTGCAGTGGGGAGCCCCTGGGCTTTGGTACTGGTGGGGGGCTGGTCCTAGCTAGAACTGGCTAAGTTCTCTTGATGACTGGAGGACCCGAGGGCCATGGGCTCAGGGCTCTGCTCAGGATCCTTTCCTTGGCTTCTGTTCCTTGTTCTGTTCTGTCTTGTTTTTCCAGAATTTCTCAGGAAACACTCCTGTGACCAAAGAGAAGAGCCACTCAGCTGATCTCTGGGAGAGTGCCTGCCCAGACTACCTCAGCCACTAGCCTTGGCCATCCCTGGGCCCCCTGCAGCTACTGGTTAGGCTCAGGGTTAGGGAAAGGCCACATTGGATTGTTCCCTCATATGCTGCAAAGCTTCCCAGCCTGCTTGGTAGGGCGAGGTCAGGGCCAGCCCAGGAGGCTTTGATGCAGACCCTCTGCCTGCATGCTTGAGAATTCTCAAGCTTGAGCTGGACATCTAGGCCTCATTTTACAGATGAGGAAATTGAGGAAGGCCAGAGAAGGGAAGTGGATCTCCTGAAAGCCTCCCAGATATTGAGTAATGGAGCAGGATTAGAACTGAATGGGATGTCCAGTGAAGACTTCTCAGTGTAATTAAGGTAATGAGTTCAGAAGGTAGTGTGAGAAATGAACTCTCAGAAGTGAAGGCTCCTCTAAGGGTCAATAATTCTCGATATTATTACTTTCAAATCCTCCCCACTTAGACCCTGTTTTAAGCACTTAACAGAAAGAATAAGCCCTGCCCCACCCCCAACCTGAGCTTCCAGCCTCTTTCCTTGTCTTTGAATTTCGGGCCTAGAATGTAAGCCTCACCTCCCAGTTAAGAGGATAGAAGAAACTTTCAAGCTTAGAATGTAAGCCCACCCCCAGGTAAGGGGTAAGGGATAGTGGTGGGTGGAGGCTTGTTTGCGTGGTGGGTGGAGATTTGCTTTCATAAGGTGGCCCTGTTACTCCATCTCTCTCTCTCTCTCTGTCTCTCTCTTCTTTCTCTCTCTCTCTCTCTCTCTCTCCTCTCTCTCTTCTTTTCTCTTCTCTCAACGTGTATCGAAGGATGCAGACAGCCATCTTGCGAGATTGTAATAAAGGTACTTTATTACAATTGCTTTCCACCACGAGGTCTCTGAGTTTAATTTGGGTTGGGGTCGCTGTCCCACACAGAACCTAGGTCTTCTGCCTCCAAATCTAGACCCCTGCCCACTACACCACACTACCTTTTCTTGGGGAGGACTTCTCCATTGGCCTCTGTGGATAAGCCCGTCAGCCTCCTGAGGCAGGGGGAATTGGAGCCAGAATGCCTGAGTCCAAGCCTGACTTGGGAGAGTCAGGTGGAGATAAGGGTGGAGGTGTTTACTCCTTTCCTGGACTGAGCTCTGGTCTTTGAGCGACTAGCCACAAGCAGTCTTTTCTCTCTTGGAACCGTGAGGAGGGTTTTCTCTGCACCGCCACTACAAGCTCCACCGAGCCAGAGCTCCTCCTCTCCCCAGGACTGCCACCCAGAACTGTGACCGAGATCCAAGCATGGGCAAAGCAAGAGATTCCTGCCTCACAACCAGCAAAGAGATTCTTGCAGTCCCCCTCTGATCAGCCACTTGATTCCCCCTCTGTCTGTGGGCCGGAAGCTCAGGACACAGCCACCACCCTGGCACTTGAGCTCTGTGCTCTGGAACTGGCTCTGACCTAGCTCTTCTCTCACTGCAAAAACAGACTTTTCCCACTGACCTTCTAAGTTGTCTTTGGCGTTTGTGGATTGAGGAGTCTGGAAGCCACCACAGCTGCCCGTGATTCAGTCCTCTGAGGCCTGCTCTAGGTTCTCTGTGGCCTGAGTGCCTATGCCTAACTGAGCTTCTCTTCCCACCTGTTGCGATATGCCTTTCCAATCAACCATCCAGGCTGTCTTGGGCTGGAAATTTGTTTCACTATGTCTTTTTGTGGGTTCTGCTGCTTTAGAATTTGTTTAGAGCCATTTTTTTTAATGGGTATTTGGAGGGGTTTGGGGGAGAGCTCAAGCAAGTCACTGCTTTCACGTTGCCATCTTGGCTCCGCCCCCCAAACTAAACTTCTGATTGCCATTTATTAATGGAGGAGACTGCATTAAGACTCAAGCTTTCTATTCAAGGCTTGACTCTCTTCCCATGAAAGACTAGTTCCACAATGAACAGATATAGCAATTAGCAAAGAAACTAATTTAAGTTGACAGCAAAACAGAAATCAGAAAATACAGAGGAAAACATACACCAGACAGTACAGAATGAAGGAGCGCTCCCACTGGGAGAGAAAAGTAAAATCTCTCTGAAGTCCTTCGGCACCAAAGGGCTGTTGGCGTCATCTGCCTTCTCTCTCCAAGACGGAAGCCAGAAATGCCCAGAGTGGCTGCAGAGCCCGAAGGGACTCAGGAGACTTGGGCAGACTCAAAGAGTAAAAAGAAAGAAGAGGCTGCAGCCTTCTCTCCCATTCTTGCCACATCCTGCCCCACCCCTCACCAAGCATGGGGCTTCGATTGGCATCAAAGAGGAGAGTCCCATATGTACATGGGGGCTTTGGGACTCGGGCTACCCATAAAAAGTATGAGCAAGTTATAATAAAACCTCATGGTTTGCAGGCTTAAGAGGAACATCTCTTGGAAAACATGCACTTGGATGAGATAAAAATGCATAGAATCCTGTGCATTTTATTTTGTGCATTTAAAAACACGGTTCTGAGGAGTCTTCCTCCCCCTCCCCCGCTTCAGTTAACGCCAGAATGCCTCTCTGGGTGGGAGGACAGACGGACAAGGACGTGTGTCTGACCAGAGACCCCTCTCCCCACCGTGCAAACGGACTTTAAACACAATACGAGGTTTTATTGTACTTTGCAATAAGCCTGGGGATCCCCAGTCAGCCTGCCTTCCAGATTAAGGATGGGGTCTCCTTCTAGAGGGAGAAGGCAGGGCTCTGGCCGGGATAGGGGACCTCCCGCCCTGGGGCAGCCAGGCCAAATGCCCGGCGTCGGGAGATTGAGGGTCTAATGGCAGGAGTACCCGGGAGGCCAGGGTCCTGGGTGCGAGGGCGTTCATGGAGGGCAGGTGGTGGGGGAGAGGAAAGGCTCTTGAGGGCTTTGAACGACGAACAAGAGAATTTCCAGTTGAGCTGATGGGGAGACGGAGGACAAGACCGGGGGGTGGGCTAGAGGGTGGCGGAGTCCTAAGGACTCTATTTCCCAACAAGCCATGCGGGCGCCTCCGTTGGAGGCGGGGGACGCATCAGTGCGGACGTCTCTCCCACCCTTGCGCTGGTCCCAAGTCCGGTGAACTCTGTTTCCCAGAAGGCCACACGACGTCTCTGTGGGCGGGGAGGGGAGAGGCGGAGGGGGTCATTTCCGGTGCAGCTTCGCCTTCTCGCGCCTGCGCTCCAGGATCCCCTCGGCCCGAAGCCTTGTCCCTGGCTGAGGGGTAGCTGGCCCGGAGAGAGTAGCGCGTGCGCAGTTCGAGATCCGCACCACCCCTTTCACTAACGGACGCTCCCATAGGTCGGCCCCGGAGGGAGGGGCGCAGGGGGAACCAATCTTCGAAGAGTTGCGGTCCCGCCCCAGGCTGTCCCGGGTGAACCTCGGGTCACAGGCGCCTGGGGAGCGAGCGAGGGGGATGAGCTAGGGGGGAAGAGCAAGGGTGACATGGCCACTGCGCCCAGGCGGGTGAGCTTGGGACCAGGGGGCGGGGCTAGAGGGCCGGGTCCGTGTCACGTGGGCCCGAGAGCTAGGGGGCGGGGCCCGCGGGCGGAGGGACACGGCCACGTGGTCCAGGGGTGGGGCCGAAGAGCCCTGGGCTCGGCTCCCTGCTGTTCTGAGCTCCAGGTGCGGAGCTGGTCTAGGAGGCTGGGCACGTTGGCTGGAGGCTCCCTGCGCCCAAAGCGGGTCTAGGAGGCCGACCCCGGGTCCTCCACTGTGCCACCTAGGTGCTCCGTCTGGAAAGCCCTTGAGCCTCACAGCACGGGCAGCAGTCCCGAAGCCCATAAGGAGCTTAGTCTAATGGGGCCACATAGAAGCCACAGGCACAGAGCTTCTTCAAGAAGAGCACCCCCAGGCACCGGGAGAGGCCATGATGAGATGTTCAGTCCTTTCAGTCTGTCCCACTCTTTGTGACCCCTTCGGGGGTTTCTTGGCAAAGATCCTGCAGTGGTTTGCCATGGCCTTCTCCAGTTCATTTTATAAATGGGGAAACTGAGGCAAACAGGATTAAGTGACTTGCCCAGGGTCACACAGCTGGTAAATGTGTGAGGCCAGATTCAAACTCAGGAAGCGGTGACGGGCAGCTAGGTGGCTTGGGCTCGGAATCAGGAAGGCTTACCCCAAACGGGCCCTGAAGGGTCGGATGCAACTGAAAGGACTGAACAAGATGAGTCTTAGAGCAGATCGTGGCAGCCAGCCACCCAGTAGAGAGTCAATAAAGGTCAAACCTGAAGCATCCCCAAGAGCCATACTCCTCCGCCCCCACCCACCTCCCCTTCCAGGAACACAGGAGATGGTCCCAGGGCTAGCACAAGTATCTTTGTGTTTTAGGAGGCAGTGACGTTCCAGGATGTGGCTGTGGACTTCACCTGGGAAGAATGGGCACGTTTGGCCCCTTCTCAGAAGGAACTGTACAAGGATGTGATGCTGGAGAACTACAGGAACCTGGTCTGCCTTGGTAATGACAGCTTTCTCCCTGGACTCACAGTCTGCCCAGGGGATCCTGAGTAAATGCTCTTGGCGTCTCAGGGCTCCAATGGCTATTACTTAGCAGAGATGGCCAGCCTTTTTGTGGCCAGGGGACAGAGCCTCTTGTTGCCTGTTCCCAGGTAAGAGCCTTGCTCATACACCTGGCACCTTGAAGCCCTGCCTGAGGTTGTACTTCCCTACTCTCTATTTTTCCTGGTCCCATCTCTCCTTTAACATCCCAGGGAAGTTTGTGTGAAGACAGGCAAGAGGCCCATCTTAGCAGAGAAGGGATCATATCAGCTCCTCATCTTTCTGAGCCCAAACTCAGTTTCCCTGTCACCATCAGACTTCCTAGAAACACTCCCAAGAGCATCCCCACACACAGCACGTCCACTTTTCCCTGAAGAGACAGGGGCTGGGATCGCATTGTGAGTAGGTTCTTTGTCCCTGGCATTTTCTCATTTCTAATGAGCAGGACTGGCAGTGTCCAAGCCCAGCTGTTCATGGCCAGGTGGACCAAGGGGAAGCACTTTGGATGCCAGAGAGAGAAGAGTCAGGGGGCAGCCTTCAAGGCAAGTGCGTGAAATGAGGGAGACAAGGCAATGTGAAACATCTGGATCTTTGTCAAAGCCCCTGGGCCTTGGAAGAAGGTCCTGGGAAGGCTCGTCTGCACCTCAACAAATCAATGCCCAGACATCTCTCCACTCACATTATCTTCTGCCGTTAGGGGAAGATGTTTGCTTGTAGGGGAGAGATTTAATTCAGCAGACATTTAGTAAATACCTGCCAAGTGCCTGGCACCTAACTAGGCCCAGAAACCAAACAGCCCCTGCCCTTTTGGTAGAGAGGAGGGATTGGGACACAGTGCTTATACAAATAAGTAGCTGTGAAACATAAAAAGGAAGCTTGGGTAGAGAGAGGGCATTAAGAAGTAGGGAGGTCAGGAAGAGCCTTGTGTGTGATGTGGCCCCCTGGAGGAAGAGCATTCTAGTATAGAGAAATCCTGGGCAGAGGCCCATAGGTAGGCTTCTTTGGCTGGAGCCTACAGAGTATGAAGGAGAGTGCAGTGCTCCATCCATGCCCTCTTGCCATCTGAGCACTTCTCACCTTTTATCATCAGACTTTCTGGCCCATGCTAAGACTTGAGATTGGGCCCCCTCCATTATCCTCCTAATGGGATGATGATTCAGTCAGTATCTGACCTGGCACTGTGGGCAGAGCTTTCCCTGGGAGCCAGGAAGGATGAGTAAATCTACTGCCTCATGACCAGAGAGGGCCCAGACGTAGGCCTCCTGACTATGTCTAGGTCCCGAACCTCAGCTCTGCCCTTCCTCCTCAAGTCAGATCAGCATCTTAACTGAGGGCTGGAGTGGAGCTGCTCTTTACTTGCCAAGGGGGGAATCACCATCTCATGTCCACCAAACGTTCCCTTAGAGATTTGTTTGGAGTCTGGGGCTGCCTAAGCTAAAGCTCCCTTGACTTTTGACCCCTCCTTTGTCTCCATCCATATCGTCTTCTACCATCCCTAGGTCCCTACCTTTCTGACTTTCTCTCCCCATTATACCCTTGGGAATCCCTATTCGCTTGTTAACAAACAGCCCTTCTCCTTCTCACAGTCCTTCCATTTTCTTGTAGTGACAGAATTTCCCAAGAAATTGAAATCCAAGCTCACCAGCCAGTAGTTCAAGGCCAGTCCTTCTCTAGTCCTGTGGTTCTGTCTGCAGTCTTCCAGCTATTACTGACAGTGGCTCAGCAGTACCATCCTCCATTTCTTCTAGGACCTGAGGCCATCATTTCTCCGGGCCTGGTGATGCATCCACCAAGGGTAGCTGAAGTGCTTTCTGACTACCTGCCCCATACTTATCTTTGGCAGTCATTTTTGTTCTCTCTGGTCCAGCCCAAAGATCATTCTCCTTGGTAGGGAAAAGATCCCATCTGAGGTGCTCTGCCTTCTCTCCATCATCCTGCCCCCTCTTTGACCCCCTTCTTTCCCTCAGGATAACTATCAAGCAAACCCTTTGTGCTGCCTCCTGATGCTCCTCCCACAGGACCGCGCCACATTTGCACATCCATCCTCAGTTCTCTGGCCTTGCTCCAACTTTCAGTGCCCACATGGAGGTCCCTCCTGCAGCCGCATCACTTTCTGCAGACATCCCTTTGTTCCCTCTTTTTGGAATCGCTTCCCTTTGCTGCATCAGGATTTCATTCTTTAAACAAAAAGTTTGATGCATGGTTTTTGTCTTTCCATCACAGTCACTTCTACTTCCTTCACTCCAGATTGAACCCTCTGTGGTGACTAAGGCAACAAGTCCAAATATAATGGATATCCATTGTCCTAGCTGCAGCTGGCAATGTCTGCAGCGTCGGGCCTTGTCTTCCTCTGCTCTGCTGGGAGGCCGAAGATGGATTGAATTGTCTGTTCTCTGGGGTCGTCCTCGCTTTCTTGGTTCCTAGAACTTGTGGCCATCTTTTCATCTACACCCTTGGAGTCATTGTGATTGTCATTCCTTGGTTCTGCTCATTTCAGTCTGCATCAGTTCACAAAGATCTTCCCAAGCTTCTCTAAAGTTCTTTCCTCTCTTCTAACAGCACAGTAATTTTCCACTGCATTTGCCTCCCTGGTTTTTTCATCCCTTCTCCAGGGGATGAGCAGGCACTCACTTGTTCCAGTTCTTTGCTGCCACAGAGAATGTGGTTGTAGATGTTTTGGTCTCTGTAGACCTTTGTTTCCACGTGACTTGCTTGAAGTGTGTGACTGAGGGAGATTTTTGGATCTTTGGGTATCTGTGATCTGTCACTTTTCTGGCATAATTTGAAATGGGAATCCAAAACAAATGAAATCAATTTATAGCTTCATTGGCAGTGCATCCCTCACGGTTCCTGTCTTCCCGCAAACCCTCCGACAGTGGTGGTTGTATCTTTGACTAGCTTGATTAGTTTGCAGGATGGAGGTAAAAGCTCAGAGTTGTATTCATTTTCATTTCTTTTATTAGTGATTTGAAACCTCTGGTCAAGTACAGTTTGTAATTCTTTGGAAAATTCTTCATTCTCTTTGACCACATGCTTCTTGTGGGAAGGGCCGAGGGGGCGATTCTATTTATTTTCTACTTCACTCCTTAATTTCAGCTTCCCTGATTTTACTCATGCAAACAGTCATATTGGAAGTAATCAGAGTTATCTAGTTTTCTCCTTTATGACCTCAGAATTGTTAAGGCTTTCCCATCCCTCCCACCTGTAGAATTTGATCCATTTTTTCTTGCTTGTATCCTTCCTGTGACCCCTTTGAGCTGCTTTCCTCAACTATGATTCATGTCAGCCTTTGCCTGTCCTCCTCTCCTCAATTGCAAACTCTGGAATTCTGAGATTCCTTTCAGAATCTCAGGAATTCAGATTCAAAGCCTCTGTAGAGGAAAAATCTCTTTCTGCTCATTCCCCACTTCCTCTTTCCCATTCACCACTAAAGTAGGGAAGACCTGAGGTTGAGTCCTGCCTCAGGCACTTGCTAACTATTAATTAGTTATTTAACAGCCCTTGGCCTCAGTTTCCACATCTGTAAAATGGGTATAACAATAGCACCTATGTCGCAGGGTTATTATGAAGATGAAATGCAATGTGGACTACATGAAGCATCTTGTAAACCTCAAGGCGGCATGTAAAGGTTAGCTCTTATTATTATTGATGGCCGCTCTTCCCATCCCCCCTCCTTTCCCTCTCCCTCTCCCCTCTCCTGCCATGTGCCCTCTGAAGCCCCAGACCATCCCCAAACTTTTCCTTCCATCTCTGCCCACAGGAGATACAGCATCCTGGGCACCTTCTCCGGTACTGGATGCAGCTTCTCTTGTGCCCTTCAGTCCTAGTCCTGAAGGAAAATAGGCTGCTCCTGACCTAGCCCCTACATCCCTCAGCAGCCTCTGGTCCTTCCAGAGCTGTCATTGTATCTGAATCCTGATGGCAAGTTGCCCCTCCCCCAGCTCCCACCTGAGTCACCCTCTTCTTCTTCTCAAAGAGTTTGGTACTTGGCAGAGTCTTCCTCTCTAGTCCAGCCCCTGCTCTTAGAGTTCATTAGATATTTCACTATGCATGTTGACATCTACCCAAGCACTAGCCTCCTCGATTCTTTTGACCTACACCTTCCTTCTACTGCAGCGTATTGACCTCGTGTCATCCACAACCCCTTCCTCCTCCTTTTTACGCTATGACATTCCTTTTGCCCTTAGAACAGAACCAGTCTCCCTGGGGCCTTTCTTTGTCCTGTTTTCTCCCCTGACTAGAATATTAGTCCTATAGCATTATACAGTACCTTGCAATTTCTCAAATACACTTGCCTTCTAGGGGAGAGAAGGGAATAAGCATTTATGTAGTGTCTACTACATACCAGGCATTGTGGTGAGCACTTTTACAAATATTTTCTCATCTGATCCTCACCAAAACCCCAACTTTCTCTTGACTCTTGTGTTTGTCTTTCAGAGTTCCTACTTAGCTTTGGGCTCTTCATTAGAAATGCTTGAAAGTTCCTTATTCCATTAAAGGTTTATTTTTTTTTCTATAGGATTGTACTCAGCTCTGCAGGATAAATTATTCTTGGTCATAAGCCTATCTCTTGCTTTTGGAATATTGTATTTCATGCTCTCCTTTTGTTTATAGTAGATGCTGCCAAGTCTTATGTGACCCTGGCTGTGGATCCTTGGAACTGGAACTGCTTCTTTCTGGAAGCTTGCTTTATGTAGGATCTTTTGCTTGTGGAACTTTCAGGATGTGATAGGTGGGTTCTTTCCATTGTCACTTTGCCCTCATCTGGTTCTGATAGATCTGGGAAGTTTTCATTTATGGATTTCTTGAAATATAGTGTTCAGGCTTTTTGATTGATTATAATTTCAGGGAGCCTAATGCTTCTTAAATCATCTTTCTGACCTGTTTCCCAGGCCAGTTGTTTCTGAACTTTTCTCTTACATTTTCTTCTATTTTTGTGATCTTTTTGATTTTACTCTAATATTTCTTGCTGTCTTGTGGAGCTTTGGTTTCTGAGCAGTCTGTTCTAATTTTTAGATTGGGTCAGGTTGATCACTTTCTCTTCTGAGTTAATTAATCTCTTCTCACTTCTTTCTTCAGGAGTCTTAATTCAATCTTCACCTTCATTCTTCATTCTTCTAGACATTTGTGTTGTCCAAGGATTTTTAATTTGGGGTCCGTGAACGTGTGTGTGTGTGTATTTAGTATGTTGACCACTGTTTCAATATGCTTGATTTCCTTTGGAATCTTATGTATTTAAAAACATTATGCTGAGGAAGGAGCCATCCATTTCACTAGACTGCCAAAGAGGTCCATGACACCCAAAAATGAAGACTTCCTGATGTAGTACTTGTGGAAAATCCGTGTTTTAAAAATTGAGTCTCTGGTTGCATGTGCTGTAGAGTTATAGCTACAATAATTGTTGATCCTGGTGGGGGTTTTCTTTGATTTCCTCATCTTTCTAGGTTTTATTCCTGAACTGGGGCTTTGTGCCAGGGCCAGGCACAGAGGAGGATGGAGGGGCAAGTCTTGCAGGAGTAAGGAGGTGATAATCTGTCTGTATTCTGCACAGTAATTGAGGAAGGATGTTGTTAAACTGGAGAGGGTTCAAAGGAAGACAGCCAGGCTAGTGGAAAGGCACCAGGAACATTTAACCCTGGAGAAGAAAAGAGTCAGGAGCCAAGATGGCGGCATTCCAATACTGCAAGGCTGTCACAGTAGAAGGGCAGAGGCAGGACCAATGGCTGGAAGCTGTAGAGATGCACATTTAGGTTTGTGACAAGTTGCCTTGAGAAGGAGCCTTTAGCCTAATCTTCAAGGAATTTCCTTTTGAGGCTTGGTGGCTGCTTGTTTGGTGAATTGTAGGGAGGATCTTCCTTTTGGGCTGGGAGGTGGATTCCTTCCAACTCTGTAGGTTCATATTTCTATTTCTTTGACCCCTGGGAGTTCAGAAGTGAAGAGTTCAACCCCTCCAGTAATCAGCTGTGACTCGATGGAAGCTATTTATCTTTGTAGCCTTAGTCTCTGAAAGGAGATTAGACTAGGTGAATTCCCGGGTCTGTTATATCCCTAACATTCTGTTAAATAACCCATTTACTTTAGCTCTTCTTGTAATATTCATTCTTTAGGTTGAGCTGAAAGTGTATGCTTGTTTGTAGAGAGGCTCTGGGGGACAGGGGAAAAGGTATTATAAATCAGAGTTGGAAGACTTGATTCACACTCTGGCTTTGATGCTTAACAACATCATTTTGAATGAGTCACTAAATCAAGGTAAGCTGCAGTTTCCTCTTTTGGAGAAATGTAATGACTGAGAGTATAGGGAGTTTGAAGGTGAAAGCTTCATTTTAATAAGCATCCAAGCATCTACATAGAAGGAATGAGAGTACAAGTACAAGGTGGTGTCTATGAATAATGTGATCATGACTGTGGTAACAATATTAATTAGTAGTAATAATAATTATATGTTTTCTTGTTATTTGTTCTTCCTGTGAAGTCTGACAGTTGTTTTTCTTAGGAGACAAAAGGTAGGACTGTGCATTCAGCAGGGAGATGGGATATTTATATTTTTTAAATGTTTTCTTTCAGGTTGGAAGAATAGGTCTGACACAGAGGAATTGGCTCCAGACGTAGAAGCCTGGGAATGTAAAGCCAGGTTACTGAAGCAGGAGCGCAATGAAGATAAACATTCTAGACTAGACCCAAGAAAACAGAATCGAATCCGCTCAAAGAAGATATTTTCTAAATCTAGTGAATGTGGGAAACTCATCAGTTATAATTCAGACCTTACTAAGTGTCAGAAAGTTGACATTATGAAGAAAACTTATGAATGTAATGAATGTGGTGAGATCTTCCAGTGGAGTTCTCATTTCACTAAACATCAGCGAATATGTACCAGAGAGAAACCCTGTGAACATAATAAATGTGAAAGGGCCTCTTGTTCAAGCAGAAGACCTTCTGAACGTCAGAGGATTCATAGTGGAGAGAAATTTGATGAATGTCACATATGTGGGAAAACTTTCTGCCAGTTCACAGAACTTACTGAGCATCAAGCAGTTCATAGAGGAGAAAATCCATTTGAATGTGTTGAATGTGGAAAGAACTTCAGCCGGAGTTCACAACTTATTGTGCATCAGAGAATTCATGCTGGAGAGAAACTGTATGAATGTAATGACTGCGGGAAGGCCTTCCATTGGTGTTCACGGCTTATTCAACATCGGAGAATTCACAGTGGAGAGAAACCTTTTGAATGTAATGAATGTGGGAAGGCATTTCGCCAGAGGATACAACTTACTGTACATCAGAGAATTCATACTGGAGAGAAACCTTATGAATGTAAAGAATGTGGGAAGGCCTTCCACCGAAGCACAGGACTCACACAACATCAGAAAATTCATACTGGAGAGAAACCTTATGAATGCAAGGAATGTGGGAAGGCCTTCTGCCGGAGCTCACAACTCAATCAGCATCAGAGAATTCATACTGGAGAGAAACTTTATGAATGTAGTGAATGTGGGAAGGCCTTCTGCCGTAGGTCACAACTTACACAACATCAGATAATTCATACTGGAGAGAAACCATATGAATGTGGTGAGTGTGGGAAGGCTTTCCACCAGAGCTCACAACTTATTCGACATAAAGTAATTCATACAGGAGAGAAACCTTTTGAATGTAATCAATGTGGGAAGGCCTTCCATAGGAGCACAGGACTTACACAACATCAAAGAATTCATACTGGATGGAAACCTTTTGAGTGTAATGAATGTGGGAAGGCCTTCCACAGGAGCACTGGACTAATACAACACCAGAGAATTCATACTGGAGAGAAACCATATGAATGTAAGGTATGTGGGAAAACCTTCCGCAGGAGCTCACAACTTACTCAGCACAAGGTAATTCATACTGGAGAGAAACCTTATGAATGTAATGAATGTGGGAAGACCTTCTGCTGGAGCTCACAGCTTACTCGACATCAGAAAATTCATACTGGAGAGAAACTTTCTGTATATAGGATGTGTGAGAATGCCTTCCACACAGAGAAACTTCTTAATCAACACCACAAAATACATACTGGAGAGAAGCCTTATGAAGTTAAGTCCTTATGAATATGATGAAAGTGAGAAGGGTTTCAGACAGAGCAAACACTACTGAAAACTAGATAAGTCGAACTAAAGCAAAATCCTATAGATTTTTTCACTCTCCGGAAGTCCCAAGCCGCTTCCTTTGTCCTGTCTCACACTTTATAGCAGACACTGTTGTGCACTCTTAAATTACTGAGAAAGTTGTAGAAATATGGGAGGCACTTTCTGTATTTACTCATCACAAATGCCCAGGATTCTGAACTACTTCCTCCTTCCTGTTACCATGGCAAACACAGTCTTTTCCCTCTTCTTTCCAAAGGCTGATTCCTTTGCCTGTGCCTTGATGCCACCACTTCCTTTTTACTCCAGGGCATTACTTTGGCAATCATTCCCATCTTTCTTTGAATCTTAAATCTCTCCCACTGGCTCTTTCTGAACTTTATGTTCAGGTATCCTGATTTCCCAAAACCAAAAAATCTCTATCCATCCATTCACCAACCCATCTCTTTGTTTCATTGCCAGACCTCTTGAAAATTCTTCTGATTTCCAATAATAGTAAATGGCATTTACATAGCACTTGAAAGTTTACAACAACATTAACATATCTTAGTTGAGCCTCACAAAAATCCTATGAAGACATGATGGCAGGCATTATGATCCTTTTTATAGATGGAGAAAAGGGTGACTTGGGTTTAAATGACTTGTATGTAGACATTCAGTAGCAATTGTTCCCTCAGAGGACACTGGTGACTTCTTACTTGCTAAGTAAGATGGCCTTTGTAGTACGCCCTTGTTCCTCTATATAGTATTTGATGTAGTTCATCGTCTTTTCCTTCCAGCTGCGCTGTGCCCTTCTGTATTCCAAAATGCCACACTCCTGTGGCTTATAATGACAACTTGAATTTAAATGATGCCTTCAAGATTTTTAGAATGCTTTTCTCCCTGCATCCAACAATCCTTTGAAGGAGGCTGAACTAGTAATAGTCATCCCATCTTAGAGACCAGGAAACTGAGAGGGTTACTTGCTTTTGAGACAGTAGTTATTGAGAGTCTGATGTGGACTTCAGATCCAGGGGTCCTGACTTCCAGGCCTTCAATCTTTCCACTATATCATGTTGATTTCCCTCCTTTATCTGTACCTGCTTCTTTGATTTCTTTGTTGATGCATTTTCCCACTCCCTTAAATAGCATGTTCCCCCACTAGTCCCTGACTAGAACCTAAGATTTATGCTGCCATGATGCATGGCCCAACAGACTTCTTCATTTTCCACACCCGGAAAGGGTACAGAAAATGGGTATACATGTTAGCTAGGGCTCATGGAAAATGTAGGTATGGGTATCCATGTCAGAAGCAAAGGCGAGGAACCTCTGAAAAGCCCTGACTACATGTAGACAACTACATACATGCGCACATATAGATGCAAACAACTACATGCATATGTACATATATACATATATATATATATAAATTGGAGGCAGTCTTAGAGGAATGCAGTAGCATCAAGGGGAATTGGGAAAGACCTCTGACAGAATGTGAGATTTGAAGGAAGCCAGGGAATCCAGGAAGTGGAGGTGAAGAAGAAAAGCATTCCAGGCATGGGAGACAGTCATTGAAAAGGCACCTTCTGGTGCAAACCCTGTGGTCCATCCAGCTCAGTCTCTTTGCTATCCTTTAGACACAACACTCCATTACTTTTGTACTCACTGACTATCAACCATGCTTGTAGTGCACTTTCCTCACATCCACCCTATAGAATCCCTTCCTTTTGAGCAGACTTGGCTCATGCACCGTATTCTATGTTGAGCCTTTCTTGATTGTCCCAATTATTAGTGCATTTGCTCTGAAAACTATATTATGTTAATTTGTGTTTATTCTGAATAATCCTCTCTCCTCGAGGGAAAGGACTCTTTTTTTTTGTATCCCTAGGACCTAGCACAATGTCTGTGACATAGATGCTTAATAAATGCTTGATTAGTAATGATAATTGGCATTACCTAGTGGCTTAAGGTTTGCAGTGTACTTTATGAATATGTTCTCAATAGATAACTTCCAATTATTCCTATTAAGGAAATCTTACCTGAGTAAAATCATTGAAATGTCAACATAGGAGCCAAGAGAAACTAAAAAAGACAAACTCAGAGCCTAGATGTGTCTATTACAATAGTCCATACAGATGATAGTGAGGGCTTGGGGGGGTAGGATGGTAGAAGTAGGCATAGAGAAGTCAGGACAGGTGTGAGAGAGATTATTGGTGACTAGGTAGGGCTTGGTAACTGGTCACTCAGAGACGGGAAAGGTCAGATCCTAGGTATGGTGTTATTCTGGCTTGTTTTAAGAAAGAAAAGAAAAGGAATCCATTAGGGGGAAAACCAGGAAGAAGGCTGAAGAATTTATTATTTTTTATAACTGGGATATATCAGAAGATGTACATTAGGAAGTGGAATAAAGTCCAGACATTAAGAAAGTAAACTCTAGAAATACAATAATATGAACATGGAACTAGGGACCAGGATAAAGAAAGGGGAGGAGGGGGTTATTAAGGAAGACAGTAGAATTGAAAATGGAAATCACAAGCAAAGCAAGCTTAAAACTTCAAAGGGCTGATCAGAAAGTGGGGAGATTAAAAGGAAAAAGAAAAGTAACATCCAGTGGTCTGGGTTGGGTGAAGAGAGTGCAGAGGAGTAAGATCAGACAGATTCTAGATTAGTATTACTCATCTAATTCTCCCCCTAATTTCCCACCAATGTCTGCCCACACATGGTTATTCCCTACTCTCCCTGGGAGAACAGAGGAGGTTTTATAATAGAATATGATCAACAAGCATTTATTGTGTACTATGTGCTGTGCATGATGCTTGTGACTGGGGGTAGAAGACAAAAATCAAAGTCCCTTCCCTCAAGGAGGGAAAGCACTCCTAAAAATCATGATCACAAACAGAATAAACTCAACTATAAAATGGAGGGGAGTAAAAGAAGAGATTAGCAGAATTCAACAATATATTTGTAAGAAACATGCTTAAAACATATTGACAGGCAAAATGAAGAGTTAAATAGAATTTCTCAGGTAAATTTTGAAAAGCAGAGGTGACAATCATGATTTCAATCAAGGCAGGAGTAAAAGTAGATATTGTTAAAAACACACAAGCAGGGGAAATTGCATTATGTTTAAAGGCAACATAGCATCTGAGTACTTAAAGGAAAAATTAATTAAACTACTTGGAGAAATCGTAAAACATTAGTCGTTGAGAGACTTTAATGTGTCCATTTCAAACCTAGAGGAACCTAACATAAACAAAAAATTGAGGAATTGAGAATTTTAGAAAAGTTTGTTAGGATAAACTCCTGGCAATTATTGAAATTTTAAGGAATATACATATGTCTTAGCTTTGTATTAGCACCTTTATAAAAACCTATCATGTAATGGTTATTAAAAATAATTACAGAAAAGCAGAAATAATAAATATCATTAACTGACCAAGCACAATCAAAATCATAAATCATTTGAATAAAGGGTTCACACTTTAACAGACTAAATGATTAAAATCCTAATAAGCAAGTGGCTCAAAAAGCAAATCATAAGAACAATAAGTAAATTTATCAAGGTTAGACAATATTCCAAAACTTTTGGTATGTAGGCAAAACATTCCTTCGGGGAGAAATGCATACCTCTAAACACTTTCAATCAACAAAAAGAACAGATTGATGAATTGTCCATACAACTAAAACTAGAAAGGCAACAGATAAAAATAGAGAGTCTGAAAATCAGAGGAGATAAAATTGAAAACAAAAAAAAATACTGACAAAATCAGGAGCTGAATTTTGAAGAAAATAATAAAATAAACCATTAATAATTTAATTTTAAAAAAAGAATGGAAAGCCAAATGTGAAAAAGAAGTCCAACAGATCAAGAAGAATGTAAATGAAATGTAGGAATATTTGTAAACAAAATCCCCAAATTAATAGAACAAGAAACAAAGAACTTAGCACAGTCTCAGAACAAGCCATTAAGGAATTCCCAAAGAAAACCCCCAGGCTCAGGTATAAGGGAATTCTATTAAATATTCAAAGAACAGTTAACTGTAATATTGCCTAAATTAATTGCAAATATAGAGAATGAAGTTACCTTGATGAACTTTTATGAAACAAAATATGTTCCTCATATCCCAACCAGGAAGAGATAAATACAAGAAACATTAAAAAATTAAAATGACATGATTATATCAATAGATGCAGAAAAGCCTTTGACTTATTTAACGACAGTCATTTTTGTGTAAAAAATAATTTTAAAGTACAGCAGTAAATGGCCCGTTCTGTACAATGGTAGACAGAGCCTAAACCAAGAGTTAATATTTTAAATGAAAGAACACTGGAGGTCTTGAGTAATGAGTAATTGTAATTGTAAAAGGTAATGAGTAAAACAAAGATGTCCATTATCACCGCTACTATGTAATATTCTAGAAATGCTAGTTATAGCAATACAACAAGAAAAAGAAATTGAGGGGAAAGTATAGACAGAGGTAAGTTAACAGTGATCTCTATTTGTAGATAATATGGTTTATGTAAAGAATCTTTGAGATTCCATAAAAAATTAATTGAATAACTTCAGTGAAGTAGCAGGATACAAAATAAACCTGCAAAAGCACCAGTCTTTCTGTATATTACTAACAAAACTTAACAGAAGGAGATGGAAAAAAATTTCACTTAAAATAATTGTGAGTACACACACACACACACAAACACAATCTCAAAAGTCCTGGTGCAGCTAGAAGCTATTCAAGCATTAGCAACTGGGGGAATTGGAAAAGGCTACATGTAGAAGGTGGCATATGAGCTGACTTTTAGGGAAACCAGGGATTCCAAAGAGTCAGAAGCAAAGAGGGAGAGCATTCTAAGCATGGGGAACAGATCTAGTGCTATATCAATCGAACTACCACTTTATAGAATTAGACTAATAATAAAATTCATCTGGAAGGACAAAGGGTCAAAAATCTTAAGGAAAATAATGAAAAAAGTAGGGATAAAGAGCCCAGCATGACCAGATCTCAACCTATGGTATAAGATAATAATCACCAAATGTTCACCAGGTTAGAAAATAGAAAGGTTGACAATAGAACAGATAAAGCAAATGACCTTAAAGCAATCAAAGTTAGCACAAGGGCACCAATACTGGCAATTCCAGAGAAACTGGAGTGCAGTTTAGAAGTAAATAGGTTGAAAACAACATCTCACACCATGAGCTAAATAGAAAAGGTCACATCCTCCCTTCCTCATTCCCCAAATTAGGACAGAGGAGTCTTTTACAACCATGGCTAGTGGTTGTAACTAAGCAAGGGATAGTGGGTTAGAGGTGATCAAAGAAGATAAAATGGACAGTTTCCATTACACAAAAAAAGAAAAACATTTGCAAAACAAAATTAGTGGAGTGAGAGTTGAAAGGAAAATAATTTGGGGAAAGCTCTATAAGAAATATTCTGACAAAGGTCAGATATCCAAGATATTTAGGGAACTGATGCAAACATCAAGAGCCACTCCCAAAAAAGTAGTCAAAAGATATGAAGAGACAGTTTTCAAACGAAGAAATGAAAGCTGTCGGCCATATGAAGAAGTACTACTCACTGAAGTAAGAGAAATGCAAGTTAAAGTAACTCAGATGTGTCACCCCCACATTGATCAGATTGGCAAAGATGACAGAGATGAAAATGACAATTGTTGGAGGGGCTGTCAGAAAACAGCCACACTTATGAGCTATTGACATAGTTGTAAAATGATCCAACCATTCCGGAAAACAGATTAAAACGGAAACCAAAAGGTCACTAAAGTGTTCATGCCATTTCACCCAACATCAACACTCCGCCTACAGTAAAAGATCAAAGCACAAGAACACATGTACAAGAATGTTTTTAGCAACAGTTGTTGATGTAACAAGGACTAGCAACAAAGTATGTGACCATCCACTCCAGAACTGCTAAAGAAATGGTATGATAATGTAACGGCATTTCACTGAATCATAATGAAAGATGAATATGAAGAAGAATATTCAGAGAAGCTTGGGGAGATTTGCATGGACTGACCCAGTGAGATCCAGTGACAGAAGAACAATTTGCACGTCTTTGCATTTTGATCACGATTCTAAGAGACTGGTGATGAAGCGTGAGTCAGTCTCCCCTCCTGGCAGAGAGCTGATGAACCAGGGGTACAAATGAAACATACGTTTTCAGACATGGCTGGTGCGTTGATGTGTCTTACTTTACAATATTTGTTACAAAAGAGGGTGGCTTCTATTTAGGGTTGGACGGGGGTGGGAGTGTGCTCATGGGTATGGACAGGGATACAAACAAGTATTAATAAAATATTTTAAAACACACAGGAGAAAACAAAAAAGTTTGGAAGAGGACCCTATTTTATTACTGCTTTGTCAAATACATACTTAAACCTTACAGAGGTCAAAGAAAGGAAAAAGACCCATATGGACAAAAATGTAGCTGAAAGTAAATATGTTTTTCATAGAAGCCCCAAATTGTAAAGTAAGGGGGTGCCCACCAATTAGGGAATGGCTTAAAATTATGATATATGAATGTAATGGAATATTATTATGGTGCCATAAGAAAAGTTGAAATAGTTTCAGAGGAAATTGTGAAGACCTCTCTGAGAGCTGCTACAGGGTGAAGTGAACAGAACCAGAACTCTCTCTCTCTTTGTTTCTCTTTCTCTCTCTCTCTCTCTCTCTCCACCTACACACACACACACACACACACACACACACACACACACACACACACACACGTAATTGTATCAATTAATCTTTCAAAGTTGTTTTTCTCTGTAATATACATACATATATATGTGCATATATATATATATATATATATATATATATATATATATATATATATGCAATGATAATATAGAGAAAAACAGCTTTGAAAGACTGATCGATGCAATGATAAACCACAAGCCCAGAGGACGTGCCATCCCACACCCTGTCTGATAGGGCCATGAATTTAAAAACATTTTGGGACATAGCCAATGTGGGAATTTGTGTTTTGGATTATACATATTTTTATGTGGGTTTTATTTATAATTTTTATTGTCCAATGGGGACAGTGGGAGGGAGAGATAATGGATGATAGATAAAATAGAAATTTTTTTAAAAATAGATTAAAATTTCAAAAATAAATGTACAGATAAAACAGGTCTTATAAGCAGTTCTTTTTGGTTCCTTGCATACTGAAGTGACTGTGTTTATGGATTGTTAAGTTCATAATAAAACCCCCAGTATTTTGAAGTTGATCAGTAGAACAGGCTAGATTAGATAAACGTGGTGCAGTGGATGGATAGAGTGCTGGACATGGAGTCAGGAAGACCAGAGTTCAGATCCAGCCTCAGATACTTACTAGCTGTATGATCCTGGGCAAGTCACTTAACCTCTATTTGTCTCAGTTTCCTGGTCTGTAAAATGGGGACAATACTAGCACTCCCTCCCAGGGTTGTTGTGAGGATCGAATGAGATAATAATTGTGAGGTGCTTGGCACAGTGCTTGGCACAGTGCTTGGCACATAGGGAGCACTATAGAAATATTATTATCATTAAACACGACCCAGAAGCCTGGAAGCCCAGTATCAGGAAACGCAAGGACCACAGCCACTGGGGTAGATTCCCCATTGGACATCAATGTGGCAGAATCGAGGGTTATACCAACAGCTAACTCCATGCAGCCAGGTGGCACCGTGGTGTTAGGAAGACACATCTGGCCTCAGACTCTTGCTTGCTGTGTGACCCTGGGCAAGTCACTTCACCTTGCTTGCCTCAGTTCCTCATCTGTAAAACGAGCTGGAGAAGGAAATGGCCAACCCCTCCAGTGTCTCTGCCAAGAAAACCCCAAATGGGGTCACAAAGAGTCGGATGGGACTGAAATGATTGAATAACAACCACCACATTCCATGTACCATACTGATGCCAAATGAATGCGTCTTCTACGTATAAAATATTGCATCATAATTTTCAAAAAAGAGAATTGAAAGGGGCTGCTGGTACCTTTCAAAACTATGGCTGGGGGCGGGGAAGAATTCTTAACTAAACAAGGGAAAGAGGTCATTTAAAAAGATTAAATGAACAGTTTTAATTGTATGAAGTAGAAAATCCCTTGCACAACAAATAGTGAATTTAGACTTGGAAGAGAAGCAGTTAATTGGAGAAAATCTTTGTAACAGTATTTCTGATGAAGGTGTGATATCCGAGTTATATAGGGAATTGATGTAGATATTTAAGAAAAAGCCCAGTTCCCCAGTTGGTAAGTGGTAAAAGGATATGAACAAGCATTATTTTAAATTTAGGTTAATTTTCATCGATATCTTTTATTTTACATCATGTAAATTTCCCCCTATAGCTCCCTGCCACTCTCCCCATTCCCTCCAAAATAAAGGGAAAAAATAGTTCAACAAAGCTGACCAAAACATAATTGTCTGACATATATAATATTCCACACCCTAGTCCTGCCCCCACCACCTTCTGCAAAGAAGGGGAGGAAATTACATTCTCACATCTCCTCTTTGGAGCCAAGCTGAATCAGAATTTTGCAAAATTATGGAATATTAGCGTTGGAAGGTACTTCAGAAGCCCATGAGTACAAGAAAGGCATCCCCACTGGACAACATCTGATAAGTGCCATTCAACTCACCCAGAGACCTCCAAGTTGGGGTGGGCTCCTACAGCTCTGGGAGGCAGCCTCACCTGCTCTCCCATGCATCTGTGGTGCTCAGCACAGGAGCTGGCATACATCAAGTATTCCAAAATGGCTTGTTGATTGATTAGGGCAAAGAGAACTGAGGTTGGTATGACCC